ATTCTTGTAAATTAGCAAATTATCTAAAAACTCAGTGAGTGCCTGGGAGTCATCCTGTAATTGACCACCATTACCCTTAACAGCCTCGAATAATTTCCCTGCAATCATCGAAGGTCTTCCAAACCTTTGACGTAATATGCTCATAGCCTCGTAGTAGCCCTCTTTTGGCTTCATAAACTTACAGCACTGTATAGCTCTTGCAGCATCTCCAGTGCAATATCTCATCAAATACATTAACTTCAATTCATCATTTAATAAAAAACCACTCAACATGATCTCAAACTCCTTTACAAATTGTAAATAATCAGCCGGGTTTCCATCAAAACACCGTGGTTCAAATTTAGGGAGTTTGATGTTCCTATTATCCCTGAACGGCGAAACAGTAACATCAACCATGTCATGCTTAACATCAGACACATCGTTACAATTAACAGACAAGTCACCATGACTTACTTTCCTGTTTGCATCCAAGACACTCTGTCCCTTCTTTGACCCAGGCATTGTTGAACTTGACCCAATTCCAAAAATGTTCCAGATATTGCTTGTTCAAAGAGGACTTGACCGGCACCAGGAAAAATGAACGGCGACTATCCAAACTTTCACCAACTGTTTCAATCCGCCAGATCTGTTTCAATCGTCAGAAACTGTCAATCACGTCTCATAAACCGTTAATGCCCAGCTCTCGCTACGCTCGGGCCCACGCTGTTCTTCGAAGATTTCGGAAACGCTTAGTTATAACGGACGAAAAACCAAAACACCGATCTGCCGCTTGAGATTTGTTTATTGTTACACCAACATATAAAAGGAATAAGCGAACTAAGGTTTCTGACGATGTTTCATTCTTCTTTCTGAACAGCGACCGATGAGACGATGACTGTCGTATTGATGCCTCCACGAAAATTGGGGAAGTTGATTTTGAGCAAACAACCAAGAATTGATCGTTCAATCTTCAACTCCATTGACACCACTTCTGTCATGGTTAAAGTAGTACCTAGTTGAAAGGAAGTCTTGCACTAAGGTCAATCGAGTCCGGTCATCTTGACACAGCTCATCATCAGGAGTGTCGCAGGGTTCTCTCCTAGGACCACTGATGTTTTCGATTTTTACCAATGATCTACCATACCGTCTAAGCTGCCTGACTCTTCTATACGCTGACAGCGTAAAGATTTGGAGGGCAATCAAGTGCTTGGAATACTCAAAAAGACTACAGGCCGATCTAAAGCTTCTGAAAGACTGGGAGGTGGTCAGTGATGCGACTTTCACCTAGAAAAAAATCCAAAGTGGTGAAATTACGCACCTGTAGACTGCAGGATGCAAGTATTGCCGTGTGCGAAGAAAGCTTGTCCTGCACAACGTCGGAGCGAGACTTTGTTCTAGTTCTAACTGAAAAATGGACACAAGCGTAAATTACACGGGGATATAGCTTGGGCATATTTGGTCATACACTTGACACGTAAACAGTTAGGTTCACTCACTCCTAAGCTCCTTCTAGAGTTGTCAAAACATGCGTCAGACCACACCATAAAGCGCATAATACAATTGCATCCCCACTGCTAAAAGAAGAGGAGCAAACCTCTTGAAAAAGTCAAATGACGGGTGAAAAAAGGAGTGGTTGGTTTCCGAAATAAAGCGTGTGACGAAGGGCTGAAGAAATTAGGCCTATTCACACTTAGCTACCATCGGCTTTGAGGGGATTCGATTACTGTCCACAGAGTAAAAATTGACCAGATTCACACAAACAAAGGTGTCCTGCCATTTGGGAGGTATGGGGTTCCTCGTGAAAACCTCAATACAGGGCAAGGAACCCGGTGCTCCTTCACTTCTTTTCACTGCGAATTTGCCGTCAATGAAACTCCTTAGTGGCCGTCTGTGGAGAGCTGTAGACGAAGGCTGGACAATCATGCGGCGACACAACGACTGCGCCCGAACGGGCGATCCCCTCAAAATCCCATATACCATTAGTGTCAGTCATCTAAACTAATTGTTTTAATTCTTTACATCCTCTCCCGTTTCCCTCTCCTGACTACTCCGACTACTAGGCTTACACTTATTATTATTAGTGTTGAAGAGTTGGAGTCTGAGCTATTAGCCTTCAGTATACACTGCTCCCAATGTGACTTTACTACATAGACTAACAAAATATCTAACTCTTAAGAGTTAGTGACTAAGCTTTTAACAAAGCATTTACCTCAACCATTTACTTGGATCAGTCTAATCCCACCAGATATATGAATAATATTACTAAAGTTGTTGAATCATGTAGACTTATCGCTCACTTTTTAGGCATGATATTTAACAATATGCTTTATTACTCCATATTAGCATGATGTCAGTTACTTTCGACTTGACAATATGTTTTGTAACCGGCTTCACTTACGCGAAGTGATAAGTGAGATTGATATCTCATTTTTTTTTCCTTTAAAATTAAACGTCACAAATCGTATTTAAACAAACCAACATACTTTCGATTTGCTTGCCGGGTGTAAGAAGAATAGCAGAAAAATAATTCTAGTTCTCTGAAGCGTTTCTGATAACTGATTATCGCATTTAAAACGAAAATAGTTGACAAAGTGATGATCAAAAACACTCTGGTGTCATATATAACGTGGTTAGTGGTAGAATTAAAGACACATAATTGTCCGTTTTCCGGATGCCTCTGGTGAGCCCCAAATCACTTTAAAACAAATGCTTAACAACACAGTAGAATGCACTTACATTAGTGAGCAGTAAGTAGTTACATTTAATCGACTTTCTTAGAATTCTCATATAATGACATGAAATGTTTATTAAAACGTTTGATTATGTTTAAACGAGGTGCGCGCTATGTTGCATAGTGGCTGGGCTCATAAAATAGACACATTTTTATAACCTTGTCTCCAGTTTTTCAGACATGTACTGTTTAAATACCAGATGTATTTCCTAGCCAGGATGTGAGATATTTTGGCGTGTAAATACTGATGAATAATATGGAGGATATATAGTACGTCTCTCCAACCATTAGAAGAAAACCATGTTTCACACTGTGATGAACACTTAATGAAAGGTAACTGCAGTAAATTAACTCTGCCGTATACGGTTACAAGTGCATGTTTCACTGGAGCAATATAAATATCTTCCAACGTGGAAACTAAAGATATTTTGGTAGCCTGACACTCAGATACCATTAACTGGCATAATATAGGTACGGTCGACCGTCTTTTCAAAACTAAAAAAGAGAGTTTGCCAATCTACCGAATGGTCAGTTAACTGGATTAAAACTGTAACGGAGAGAAAGTTTTTACATGGGATCTTCCAACTGAAGAATCGGAATGAAACAAAGGAAGTATGGTCAGATACAATGACATCTAATAGTATCAGTTATCGGTCAGTTAACTTGTGTATATACGAAATTTTCCGTTAGCCTTTAGTTCGCCTCACTGGTGAAAGGTTCTAAGATAACAAGATGTCCACAAATTGCACATTGTAGCTGAAGGGTAGTTACTGATTAGAAAAAGAAATGGAACAAAGATTTATCGTTAGACCTGAAGGGTATCTGTATTTTGCCCCTTAGATTTCGATCTGCTTTACGTTATGACTGTTTCTGCGGTCTATCCCAACTAAAGTGGTAGCATTATTGATTTCACTTATACCAATTTCACCTTCCGGGAAGTACCAAACCCATGAGGCACACGCAGTTTTAAAGGGAGAAAGTGAAACAAAAGCTTCGCAATTTTTCTTTTTGAATTCTGCTAAATGTAAACGATGCTGTGATTATCATTTAGCTGAAAGTCGGAGCAAGCTACAGAAAAAAGTTTGAAAAATTGGATATACAGAGTCAGTGTAGATTACTTTACCATGGCATGTTAACCACTCTTCTGAGCTTCCACATTCTATGACGTTTCACAAAAGTATCATTGTTTCAAGTGTTTTTAAAAATTTTGAGTGGCCATGGAAAATTCTTTAGTGAAAAGCTAGGAAACATTGTAAATATTTCTATTTGCCGTAAAATGAACTAATTCGTATACTAATCATTGGTGATTTCAAATGGAAATACATAGCCGTCGAAAATCAGTAATATTATTGTGAGATTCCACCTGACACATCCTAAAGTGTATACATTTATAGGGTTCAGAATCTAGTGTACTTCTACTTACTTTCTCCGTGGCCGAAATGTCACGCTTATCCCCATGTATAGCCATTCTGGAATATATACTTGTGCCCGTACTTAGAACACTCACTGACTACTTCCCATGTATTTTTCTGCATAAAAGGCAAGTGAATTGATAGTTGTCCATAAAGGCAACCAGATGAGCAAACTTATCTTTAATACAGAAGGCGAAAAACTTACTGTTCGTGAAGATAATTTGTCTTTTTGAGTGAGTCGATCACTACTTTGGAAAACCTATTTTTCGAGCTTATGCAAGCAAATCGGTTTGAGTAACGGTCTTTTCAGCGTATCTTTCGTGAATAAAAGTCCTGAGTCAAAGCAATCAGACTACAAAATTTTCTAATGCTTAAGAAGAACGAATGAATTTAATTTTTTTCCTGGAAATAGCAGTTCGAAAATAAATTTTAAAAATTAGTTAGTGTCCATTTCATGTATGTTCCCGGTGGACTAACCTCTTGAGAGGCATATGTTAAGAAAAGGACTACCTAGTCCCCGTTCGTTTTCAATGGTACATTGCTAAGAAGAATGGAAATTGTTGAATGGAAACCGGATGTCATCAAGTAATACGTCCTTGTCACAGATGACGAAAGTGTCGTCCACTTATTTTCTTTAAGTATTACAGCCATTACAATTGGTATTACTATGTCAATAATTTCGACTTTAAGGAATGATTAATTCGTATGAGGACTAACTGGAGTCACAACATAACTAAGGTCTATTGGGTCTGCACCTCACAGAGATGAGAATGAAAAACTGAGGTTCCGTTAAGGATATCTAGCTGTTTTATCATCACCACGAATTGATTACTTGTAACTCAAATCAATTTGAAATAGTTTGTGGGATTATATTGGATATTGAAGATGTAGTGGTAAATTTAATCCCTCAAGGTCGTCTGGTAATTTTCGCCGTGTTTCTTATATTCATGATACAGACTGTCTGTAAAAACCTTTTAGCGTCTTTAAAAACCAAAATTAAGTTTGTCTCTCAAAGTGCTTCAGTTTTCCGACACATAGATAGATTCTGGTTTAGGCCGCCTCCCATTGTATAAGTGCGTCGGTGGCACAGTGGTTAGGATTCTCGCCGACCATGCACATGGTCCGGGGTTCGAGCCCACGCCGGCGCACACCTGATATCTATGGTCGGCCTGCAAAATTTGGGCCACCGATATCCATGCTGAAAATTCCATACTTGTACCAAAAATACAGTGTGGAATCAAGCTGTAAATCAAAAAAAAAAAATAATATTCTCTCTGATGAAAATTGTGTTTAGCCTCTGTTTTGTTTTTTGAGTTTGGTTGTGCTTCTAAGTTACATTTTTTCCGCTTAAACAGCCCCAGAGGCACGGAATATTTTCGTTTCATTGCCTAATCTACTATTCGACCACTAATTAGCTGCTGAAGCTGAGTAATAACGCCGATTCACGTGACTGCTGTAGTTAAACTTTGCTGTCATTCTCAACTTATTTAAGCCACTATTTTTCTTCTCACTGTGCTAAATCTGTTCTGGGTATTTTTGTAAAGCCAACGTTGGGTCGTTTTTCATCCCATGAAATTAAAATGACTGTTAAATATGCAATGCATCGGTGGCACAGTGGTTAGGAATCTCGCCGACCATGCGCATGGTCCGAGGTTCGATCCCCTGCTGACGCACACCTGATATCTATGGTCGGTTTGCAAAATTTGGTCTAGCGATATCCATGCTGAAAATTCCTTACTTGTACCAAAAGTAGAGTGTGGAATCAAGTAATCAAAAATATAAAAATAAAAATAAATATCGGCATGTTAAAAGTAGACTTGGTTTTACATTACAAATAGCTGGTTATGAATTGGTCTTTCCCTGTTGCACACCCATCAGTTTGCCTGTAACTTTCTAGTCGGGTTTCGGTTAATATTGGTCATCATTCTTAGTCTGCATTCTGTTACCTAAATCTTATAAATATGATTTCCAATGAAACTATATTATTCTTCGTTATTACTATTCCTTTGTCTCGCACCTCTGTTCACTGTCCCTATTGTGCATTTCTTCTCTTGCTTCTTGTGCTACAAGGAGTGTGCCGACGAACTGGCGCACATCGATGCGAAGTTCTATGTCGAAAACAGACAGACAGAAACAGAATATGACCGGTACTAACGGTAATACATTACTGAATTATATTCAGCTGTCGTTGTTTTATATTGTGTAACTTAAGTTGTTAAACCAATATCACACTGGTTCATGTGGTTATTCAGATCTGGTTATCGTTAACTAGGCCGCGTGTGACCGGCCTCAAGCAGTTGTCCCCTGGGCTCTGCGGTCACGCAACCAACTTCCACGGTGTGGGCAGCCGGGAAGTAACAATCGCCCTCACAATCCGAAATGCACACGAAACCTCTCTATTACTCACTCATCTTTGTCTTCATCATCTTGCCTTCCTTCCACTGATGCAACTCCTCGACTTGATAGCTCTCCACTTCCTCTCCACTCTGCGTCCACTAAAAACGATGGAAGCCAAAAAACCACCACCGACAGCCTCTTAAAGCCGCGCCACCAATTTCATATAGGAGCTCTTAATGTTAGGACACTTTGCCAAATAGGACAACAAGCATCACGAGCCATTGATGTATGCTGTGTTTCAGAAACACGCATACAAGACCCAAGTGTGGTTATTCACCTAACCCCACCTGGCCAACAGGTTGAATCTGCAAAATTCACCTTGAGGGTGTCAGGAGATGCCACAGCTAGTTCACGAGGATTAGCTGGCGTAGGGATAGCTTTGAGTACTAGGGCAGAAAAGACATTGCTTGACTGGATCCCGGTAGATAGCCGAATGTGTGCTGTCCGCCTGAACGGATCAGTAAGAAGGAGGAAGGACTGCACTACTCGCCGATGCCTTTTCGTAATCTCCGCCTACGCCCCCACTGACTGCAGTTCAGATGAAACGAAGGATGAGTTCTACCAAAAGCTGTCTAGTTTGGTGGAAAGGCTAAACGCTCAGACATAGTCGTTCTAGCTGGTGACTTTAACGCTCAAGTAGGGAAATTGTGTCAATCTGAGAAGGATGTCGGTGGCACCTATGGAGCTCCGTGCCAGCGAACCGACAACGGTGACCGTCTCCTACAGTTCTGCTCTGATAATCATTTGTTTCTTGTAAGCACTAACTTTAAACACAAGGAGAGACACTGTTTGACTTGGAGACCCCCTTCATCAAACCAACGCTGGACACAAATAGACCACATAGCAATAAGCTATCGTTGGCGTGGGTCGGTAGGAGATTGTCGCTCCTTCTGGAACACGTGCGTAGATACCGACCATGCACTGGTCCGCGCTCGGGTGTGCTTACGACTGAACGGACGTAGGAAACAGCTGGCGGTAAAACCATCACGTCCCCAGCTCGATCAGGAAACTAAATCCGTATTTCAGGAAGAACTAGCTAAACACATATCTGTGTTCGACAGCTGTGCTCACCCTGAAGAAGCTTGGAAAAATATCCAGGCAGCCATAGATACAGCTGTAAAAGCTGTGAATAAGGTAAACCCAAAGGTGAGTAAAAACCACTGGATCTCCACCGCCTCATCCGAACTGATAGATGCTAGAAGACTTATTCCGGCGAGCTCCGAATTCAATGAGGAGCGAAAGCTGCACAAGAGGAAACTTACGAAAAGTCTCCGCAAGGACCGTGAACAGTGGTGGGCGACAAAAGCCAAAGAGATGGAGAAAGCTTTGAGGATAGGCAACACCAGGCAACTCTTTGGACTCATCAGGGAAACGGGTGGGAGAAGACAAATCATTAGTGAGACAATCTCGGAAAAAAATGGCACTATAATTAGCTCACAGGATAGACGACTGGATCGTTGGAAAGAGCATTATGAGGAGCAGTTTAATTTGCCCACAGCCACGCTCAACCTTCCGAGCATCCAACACCTCCCTGAATGGGATATAGACACAGGTCCTCCGTCACTAACTGAGGTTACTAAAGCTGTCACCAATCTGAAACTAGGCAAAGCAGCGGGACCTGATGGAATGACGCCAGAGGTATTTAAGTACGGTGGAGACAGCTTACTGTCCGGATTAACTGAGGTACTAGGCAGCGTCTGGGAATCAGAAGAAGTCCCATCGGGTTGGTGTAAGTCACTGATTATCCCCATATACAAGAAGGGAGACAAGTCTTCCTGTGATAATCACAGAGGGATTAGCTTGACTAATATAGTATCTAAAGTCTTAGGCTCAATAATCATGCGTAGACTGAGTGGTGCTCGGGAAGCACAAACACGAGAGAGCCAGGCAGGCTTTAGACCAGGAAGAGGGTGTATTGATCATATCTTCACCCTCCGACAGATTCTAGAACATAGGCATTCCTACCGGCGTCCAACAGTCATTATATTTCTTGACCTAAAGGCAGCATTCGACTCTGTCGATCGGGAAGTTCTCTGGAGATGCTTGGCTGTAAAGGGAATTCCAAGAAAATATATTGCACTGATTAAGGCACTCTACTCGTACTCATACAGCCAGGTGAGGGCTTACGGCGAGCTGTCATCTGAACTGATGACGACCAGTGGTGTCCGTCAAGGATGCCCATTATCTCCTTTTCTATTCAACTTCATCATAGATGTGTTAATGGACTTAACCCTAGGTGACTTCAGCGACTCAGGGATTGACTTGCTACCTGGGAATAATCTCGTTGACTTGGAATATGCAGACGATATAGTCCTTCTAGGCGAAGACGCTGACGAAATGCAGAGTCTTCTAAACACCTTGAGCCGCAATCTACGAATGTTTGGCATGCGATTCGCTCCCGCCAAATGCAAGATGATGTTACAGGACTGGACTACATCGACGCCTAGTTTAAAAATAGGAAGTGAAGTGGTAGAGCACGTTGACCGCTTCACTTATTTGGGAAGTACCATCAGCCCCAACGGGCTGATCTCTGACGAAATCTCAGCACGAATACAAGGGGCTCGTTTCGCATTTGTTAGTTTACGCCGACTCTGGCGTAGACGAGATGTTCGACTATCGACCAAAGGGCGGGTGTACTGCTCATCAGTCCGCTCCGTCCTCCTTTATGGTTGTGAGACCTGGCCACTGAGAGTGGAAGACATGAAAAGACTAGCTGTCTTTGATCATAGGTGCCTGCGTTCTATTTCCCGTGTAAAGTGGCATAATAAGGTGAGCAACATGGAGGTTAGGCGTAGAGTTCTAGGTAAACAGGGGAAATCAATCGACGAAGTCGTGAAGCTACAAAGACTGAGATGGTTAGGACATGTGTTACGTATGCCAAGCCATCGCCTCCCTCGACGAGCAATGTTAGCGGATATAGGGTCAGGCTGGAAAAAAGCTAGCGGCGGTCAAACAAAAACTTGGCATCAGTCAATGAAATCCACAACAGTTGGTCTAAGCCACGTAGAAAGGTGTAGACTTCCAGGCTGGGGTCCTCGGGACGGTAAAAATCTATGGTTGGAAACAATTGGTGACATGGCTCAAAATCGTTCTCAGTGGCGCAGATGCATCCACTCCCTGTGACTTATGATCTTCAATGAAACTGTTTTGTATTTCTTTATTACTCCTTTGTCTCACACCTCTGCTCACTGTTTCTATTATGCTTTTCTTGTACTTTCTTCTCTTGCTTCGCGTGCTACACGGAATGTGGCGACTTGAACTTCCGCACATTTGTGCAAAGTTCTATGTCGAAAACAGACAGACAGATCGTTAACTATAAATGGATTTTAAGGCGTAAAACTAACGGTTCATTCAGAAACATTTGACCTTTTGTTAGATGTGAGATTGGTATCTGAAACAACATGCACTGACTGATTTCCCAAACAAATGCACGACCTTTATTTCGAGTGCTTTAGAAATTGCTATGATCTGCATTAATGCTGTAGTAGAATTCAGTTAATACTATGGCTGATTTATAAGTGCATGTACACTATGGTACTTTTGTGTACACATGTATCACTCGTAGTTTTTGTTTCGAAGTAGGTTTATTGGTTGTTCTTGATATTTTGTGTGTTGAAGTTGCTGCGAGGGTGAATACGTAATGCCGAACGTTTCATAATAACATACGTTATCTAGTTAGCTGTATACAAAAGATATAAGTATACTACGTACTTCCAACGCTTGCCTAGCTCTCCTGATTGCTATAAACGAAAAGCTTAATTAGTTATCAACTAGTCTTCTTCATAAAAGGAACACCTTATTCGTAGGGCCAGTGCTACGTATTTTCAGAAGCTCGAAAAAAGTGTCTTGCTAGCACAGTTGTTTAACCTCACCTCAATAACTCATCAAATTTGGTTGAATAGCTAATCTTTATTTTCCGTGGGACCCTTAACAAAAGATATGATTTTCTTGTAGTGAGTAAGAATGTTTGAAGCCTAAATGTACAGTTGAAATTAACGTTTAAAAGCGGGGTGTTGTCATGTCGATTGACAGGAACATCTCTCAATAGTATCCAAATATAGTCCAGTTGATATTATGCGTAACTCACTAGGCGGTAAAATCCTAGTAATCATCGAGATAACCTGCGGTGGTGCTGAGTAATTTCCTTTTTTAAAATTTCAAGTCTCACCGCTGCAGGGGAATTCCAGTCTTGTAAAGTAGCATGTGGTGGCTAGTTTCCGCTTATTCCTATTTTAAAACGAGAAACTAGAATTACTTAGAATTTCCGTTACACATCGGTAGCCATCAGTATGAAATTGAGCAATATTGTTTAGTGGTTCAAACTGTCATACTTCATATTGACGCATCACGTAGAAGGAATAGGAATGAAGACAAAGAAGCAGTAACCATTGAGGGTAAGGTCGCGTGTAATTTATATTCCATTTATGCAATGCTGTTGAACCCATAGTAGTTTCAATTATTCCTAATATAAAGTTTGCTTCAGTCTTCTCTGTCTTACCGAAAATAACTAACACTTAAAAAGTTATTCTGTCGGATTAAGGCTTCATAACAGTTGTTTTTTGAAATCGTGAAAGCAACTCAGTGACCTACAACAGACTCCCGCACTCATAATTTTGACGTTTTCTTTGTCTTATTGTACCTTCTAACTTTCTGTTTTGCAGATTGCATCCTTCCGCTCAGAAAGTTATCATACGGTTAGAGACTGGATATTGGATTCAATCAAGTCTTTTGCCTACTGTCATCATGAAACTTTTCCTCCACAATATACTAACTTCACGTGTGCTAAAGGCTGTGAAAGTGGGATATCCCTTGAAACTCAAAGTAATTCAACTCGATTCTGTGTTATTTTTCCAGGCTAAAGAAATAAAAGTGTCTACAGTTGACTATGATCCATCATCCGTTGCACGCTTGATTCCGAAAGTTGAGTGGTCTGTTGTAAAATCAGTAGCAGATGAAGTAAGACGATTATTACTTTTTTACCCTTTAGTAGATTGGTGAAGATTATATTCCCTGTTTGCCGGAAGAAGTTCCTTCTAACTACTCAGAGAACGAGGAATTCTTGAAATTAGCTCACAAAGCACTTCTTGAAGTTGACATAATGGAGGGTGTATTGGTTTGTCCAGAAACTGGTCGTGAATTCACTATTTCACATGGGATTCCAAATATGTTGGTTAATGAGGGTGAATGAATTTCTGTATCCCTTCGTCCTGTAAATTTTGCCTGTATAATAAATGATATTTAATCTGATTGTTTTTGTGCGCTTAATGTTGCAAAGATATGGCTCAGGAGTCATTTACGAATTTTCGGTCAATTTTTCAAAAGAAAAAAAACTGAATAATACGAATCGACTTTGTATTCTAGGTGTGAATCACAGACCAGTTTATTAACCTTTATGGTTGCGTTTAGTACTAATCAATATCTGTGGTATTTATGTAGTTTTTGAGAGAAAACACTTACTTCTAAGGATTTTTTCAAATATATAATTTCAGTGAGCATTGAAGAAGTCAAGAAACCATACCCTACTGGAGTCGATCTCGGTGATTGACTGTCTTTAAAATATTCTTCCCACCAGGCTCTAAATACGGATTATTGGGGATGCAGGATATCTGAAAGTACGCACAACAGCAGTATATTATTGTGGTAATCGAAGTTAATCTGGCAAAACGTTACTCGATTCTTATTGTTTTCTAGAAAGAAAAAAGTTTGTGAGATGGGGAGGATGTCAATTAGGAAAAATTACAAATCTTCTGTTTTAGAAACCGGCCAATTGGACATTTTGATAGTTTGTTTAGTCAAAATATGACCATCCTGCATTTACTAGGTATATAATCATAGTCTGAGTACTTTAGTTGTAGGTATTCGTCTGTTGCTTCCAACCATTTCTGTAGTTCATCCTTTGTCAGTAAAAGTTATTATAACCACAGACTGTTATAAAGTTTATGATTAGGGTGTTACTCGCAGATAGTTCTTATTAGTAAAGAATGGTTGACCCTCAGGAATTCTGACAGAGAAGCTTTGTATAGCTGGAAGCTGCGTGGGCTTTTTTCTGCAGCCTTACAGACAATATTCTCTAACTGAACTCGTCTGTATGTTATAACTTCATGCTTCTCTCCTGAAGAGTGGTTACAATTCTGTGTGGTAGTAACTAGCCGGCATCAAATGAGTTACTAAGTTATCGAGACTCTTAAACTTCCTTCATTTTTCTTTCAAACAGATTATAGTGGTATGTTTTCATCAGTGATATCGACACTCATTATCTTTGGTACACTTTGTATTCAAATTTAGTACTCGATAGTCTTTGAGTGTTCGCAACTTCTCACCACATTATTTATATTTGCTTACTCAAAGATTAACCCGCACACATGAATACGGCAATATGATTTATTGGAGATGACAACTGCCAGGTAGGTGTTTTCATTCTAGTGGGCGTTCGTCATTTTAATAACTTCTGACAATAGAAAAAACAAGGTAGCTGACAGTATCATAAAGTTGCTTGGTGTCTTACACTTCTCTCAAGCCTTCGTGATGCATCAGCAAAGCTACTTTTTATACCATGGTGGCACACTAAGTTCAATGACTAGTGAATGGTGTAAAAACTACAAGAAGCGTATTTATAGCACAGGTGCAAGCCACAAAAACTGATGATCCAAGGTGAATTTTCTGACCGATGATATACACTTGTTACAAGCCATCTTGCAGAGAAAGTAGTAATCAAACTCAGAGATTCACTGGTTGTTGCCTGTTAGGATAGGGCAAGTTTCAGTAGCCTAGAATAGGATTTGTGCCAAAGCATATTATACCTCAGCCCTACCCGATGCGTAACGTGCCAGTGTATAACTCCGACTTTCGGTATGCAGCCTGGAATCTTATTCATCACACTATCTCTAGCATTACCATGCTGCGTCTAAGGATTCATCTGTGAAGTCGAGTACAGACAGAACCTCCAGTCAAACCTACAGAAGCATCTGCATTCCGACAGTGCCAAGCGAATATCATACAGGCACTAGTCGCCAAATAATTGATTACGATTTGGATAACCTGATCAGTATGTTCTTACTTTGTTGAAACCTGTCCTACAGTAAGATATTGTCTGCTTATTCAGGCTTGAATGATCTTTCTCTAGGTAGCCGACATACATTGCTCACCTCCATCAAAACTGTTTTCTGTATGTTCTGCATGAAAAAGCTAAAGATGAGGGATCAAAATACTCCGAGTTTTCGTAACGCCACCTTTGGTTCCGAAAGCTTATGCTGTGTGATTGTACCCCTTCATTCTGCTTCATTTGTTTTTGTTCACAGTTTCCAAGATTTTGAACTTCTTATGCTCAAACAGTGAGATATATCCATCCATAGAGTCGAGGTTAGGTCCTCTGTGGAAAACTACAGGGATTAATTGACCTTCAATAATTGTGCAGAAGTTCTAGTAACTGATGGAACATTGATACGTGAGATGCTTGCAAGACCTCAAATAAACCTTTTTTCATTATAGTATAACAGGGGACTGTATTTTTGATAGTATTAGTAGCAGACTAATGGTCTGATGATTGTCACATACATTTCTAATTTCTAATACCTTTTCAAACATTCTAGCCAGTCCTCTAACTGAAGTCTTGCTTCTACCTTTTAAAATCACTGGAAGTAATTAGTCCTGTTTGATTGTCTTCTTACAGCTTGATGATTGGGATTCTTTTTTGGACTTTCGCTTCATCAGATGTATCAGTGTTAACTAACGGCAAGGCTGTGTAACTCGAAATAAAGGACGTTTGTACTGGAGGTCAGTTTATTTGATTTGATAGTTCCCTGATGAGCATTCCAAGCGTTAGTGGAGGTTGCTTATTGGCATTAAGACCATCTAACTGATACCAGTCGTTTTGTTATCATTGGGTTGGGTGAGCTGGAGTAACTCACCACTATTGTCATATATAGTTGAGGCATTCAACTCAGTTCCACCCTCTGTAATCATCCTGTAACTATACATGTTAGAGTTTTTACGATAAGATAGGAGACACACGTACACTTCTTCATTCTATTTTCCTTTGTTTCATAGTATTTTCTTTTTATTCCCCTTGAGTTTCGATAAAAAACACAACTACAACCGATTACTATTTCTTCAGAATAAGCTGTTTCACAAAAAGATCGACGTCTTATTATATATATATATATTGGAATCATCGTGAAAAACACTGTTGCGAGGTCTGCAATAAACTCATTTTAAGCAATTGATTGTATTTACCATATCCGTTGATAAGTCAGTGTGGCAAATGTTACTTCCAAAGGTCACCTTCCTCGACGGGCAATGTTAATTGACTTAGGATCAGACTGGAAAAGAACTAGCGGTGGTCAAACCAAAACATGGTGCCAGTCAATGAAATCCACAACAGTTAGTTTAAGCCAGTCACGTAGGAAGGTGTTGACTTCCAGGTTGGGATCCTCAGAGCGGTAAAAACCAACGGCTGGCGATAATTGGTGGTATGGTTCAAAATCGTTCTCAATGGCGCAGATGCATCCACTCCTTGTGACTTATGATTTCCAATGACACTATATTGTTCTTCGTTATAACTATTACTTTGTCTCACATCTCTGTTTACTGTCTCTATTAAGCATTTCTTCTCTTGCTTTGTGTGCTACATGGAGTGTGGCAACTCGAACTGCTGCACATCGGTGCAAAGTCCTGTGTCGAAAACATACAGAAGGAGAGACAAACTTCCAAAGATAATTGCGTCACCTGACTTCTGCCTATCAGCATTGTATTAATAAGTTTGAGCAATTCTTACTGATCTAGTCTTTTGTGCTAAATTCACCTTTAAATATTCCTGATATGCGTGTAGCTCGAAACGCCAATTAATTCAATGACTGAAACTTGAATAAGCCCCTTTAGTTACTACTGCTTGTAGCCAAACTGTGTACACTGAATTCAGATATAATCTCATTGAGTTCAACTGGTTACGTGACCTCTGGGATATAGAGTAAGTTTCGTATCGTGGTATAGTTCGCTGCGACTATCCTCCTCTTGGAAACCAGTATTAGCTGTAAGTATTGACGGAAAAACAATTTTCTGTACAATCTTTGTTTTTATTTTTTATGCGAACATTATTGTAAAGAGACAAAAAAATATAGAATGTGAGATGTGTTTATCAACAAAATAAATTCCGGGGAAAATCAAACAGGATTCACATAGATGAGTAGGATTATTTATATACATAAGTTTACGGTGCCATTTGTATTTAGATTAGGTTTCACATAGAACCGGTCAGTTTATCGTTTGTTTGCATAGCTGATAAACGGGATACTTCAAGAAACTGTATGAAAATGTAAACTGTGTTAAATTGACTTGGAACTTCGAAAATATCCTCCTCCGTTCGAATTTTTTATGAACTATGATGATAATAATAGTGTCTCTATTTGATGTGTTGAATGATAAGTAAGATACTTTGTTTAGAAGTAGGCAATGTACTACTTATATTTGTTGAGTAGTCGAAGTTGAATATAACAAAGTATGTAAAATATGATCATTATAACAACTTGTCCAAATACATTATACCATAAATCCCATGTAGTTTTGTAAGGAATCTCTTGATCCTCCAAGTACGTTGTGCCGTTTTGACTGTAAGAAAAACAAGATGACGAAATGATCTGATTACTTAACAGTGTAGATTATAAGAAGTTAATTCTTAAAAAACAAACAGATCAGTCAGCTTCAATCTTTTGTCCAGAAATTTCTAGTTTCACTTATATTTAGGCATTTACATTTACAACAAGCTACCAGTTATGAGCTCATATATATTTCACAGGTTGAGTTCTAATCGTTTTATTCTCCTCACAATACTTACATGATCAATAACAAAGGCTTGACCAAACTGCTTCCAGGCATTCCACTATAACAACCTAAAATTCAATGCTTACCTGATTTAATCTTTACATCTGATTGAATTTGTAGTGTAGATTTAGGTATTAAATGTATTTCATTCCTTATAAAACCTTATTCATTATTAACCGTGACGACTTTCAAGCATGTTAATCTCATCCATAGAGTACGGTTGTGTACGTCGGTGGCACAGTAGTAGAATGCTCACCGACCACGTATGTGGTCCGGAGATCGATTCCCGGCCGACTAACTCCTCTACAACACCAAGCCTCATATGGTTCGGGTTTCAATCCCCAGCCGACGGACTCCTTTACCTCTCTGAGCCAGTAATAAGGCAGGTAAACAGTCAAGGTTGGGCGTGAGGCTAGCAATCCCACCCAGTAAAACTTCAAAGCTCTAGCTTGAAGCCCTTTTTTCCACTGAAGACGTAAAGAAATAAAAGTGGAGTAGAATACAAGTAGATTGTTAGGTTGCACCTTTGTGACATTTCCCTTTTCTTTCAGTGAGCATTGAGTCAAATTTATTGTGTATGAAGACAGTACTACTTCTTGGTAATGTTTACCTCGGTACATACCCCGGAGTTCGAGCCTCGTCAGCAAACAATTGCAAGTTGATATCTTTGGCAGGGGACTCACAGCTTCATATCAGGCATAAATCCCAGGGTGGAATGTGACGGTTTCAGTGATTAATCTTGTCTGAGTATGTTAGCGAGTCGTCTCAAATCAATATAAACAGCTCAAAATATTTTGTACACTATATAAACATCTTTTCATTACTTTGTGTTCTTAGTGGAACATAGTGATTCAAATTTGAACTGTGGAGTCCTAGTGGCGATAGTGTTGTTTCTACGGGGTAGGATCGCTGGCCTTCTACACTACTGTTTCTTCTTTCCTCGACCTACTACCGGCTAAGTGAGGTTAAGCAGTGAGTCTTTTGCGATTTGAGCTTCAGAGCAAGTACGTGACTGGCGAGCATTCTGACACTGGCAAGACCTAGTATTCCCAGCCAGTCACTCATGCAATTATTAATCGGGTCCAATTTTGCTTACCAGCAGTGATCGAACGAGAACCAGTATTTTCAAAGTGGTATGATCACCATATATTTATATTTTGGAAGACAGAAATATTTTTTGTGATAAATCCATTGTTTTTTAAACGAACTCATCTGTGAAAGGGCTTTTAGTTGTCGAGCTCACTTCCCTTATATTTTTCTTGCCATTAAAATCTGAATTGTCCCTTCATTCATATCTGATGGCTTATGTGTTCACTTATTCCGGTTCTTTCAGAAGCTTCTGAAGACAACATAATTATTACAGAGGGCAAGTGGAAGAACACGCAGTGATTTTATAAGTTGTCATTTGAACAATTGTCAGGTGTATTAACCAAACCAAACTTTTTGACTTACAAGTGACACATAAGTTCATTTCATTTCAACTAATTTTCCACATAATGCCTCATTTTACTGTTTTCTACAAATACTCTGATATCTTTCAGTAATCTGAGTCTAGACATTTATATGTCCAGGTGTTATAAAACTTCAGCTTAAGTAGGCATTGTATGATAATACGTGTAAGGCATCTGACCGTTGGATTTAACAGTTTCACAATAACTGACGTAAGAAATTCGTTTCAAAATAGCCTTTATCAGCTGAAGTTTGCTGAACAGTTGAAAGTTATAGTCAGTTTGCTAACGAATTAACTGTATATTATGACCAGTGGTGCATAGGTAGAATGCTCGCCAGTCATTCAGGTAGTCCGGGGTTCGATCTTCAGCCGACGCACTCTCAAACCCTGCTCAGCTGGTAATAAGCCCAGCAAAGAGGGAAGGTTGAGTGTGAGACTAGCAATCCCACCTCGTAAAAATAATAACCACTGCTAACGAACTTCGAGGCTCTAGCTTAAAGCCCTATGCTCCACTGGGAACGCAAAGGAATCAAATTAAACAAGAGAAATTGCCAATTCGGTCTATGTTTGATTTACGATTACCTTTGTCACGACGTTGCATGGCAATACTTTAAACTGTCTCTTTTTAAACGAGGATTAGTCGGCCGTTTGTGCTATTGATTAATTGATATCAGCAGTCAAATACCACTCATATGAGCCAGTGGTAGGGTGTGCTAGCCAGGTCGATGTGATCTAAACACCAGATGGCCATGTCTCTCGTGTACGATCAACCTCATTAATAGCGTACCCAGTCTGACTCGCTAGCTGAGTCAAACCAGATATATTTCTGATGATATAGATCCTTAACCAGCGGAACAGCCTCCGATATTCAAATCGATCTAGCCAGCAAGTACTACCAGTTGGTATGAGTGGTAGAACTGTGGTCAGATTTAACCTCGAATTATGTAGATTGCAAACTGCATATTCGATTCAAGGATTAGCGAACTTTGTATAATGACGGCGAATATATTTTTCTCCTTTTCTTTGACAAAATGAGACCACTTTTTTCCAAAGGATGATAGACAACATGTCTAGTTAAAATTTTCTGTTTTATTTTCAAAGTTTAGTCAGTTGTAAGCAAAATAAAATTTTCTTTTTTAAACGCTGAATTCCGGTGGTGGCACATCGGTAGAATGCTCGCCGACCACGCCTCATGTAGTCCAGGGATCAATTCCCGGCCGACGAACTCCTTTACAACGCCAAGCCAGTAATAAGCCCCGTAAAGAATGAAGGTTGAGAATGAGACTGACAATCCCATCCCGTAAAAGTAAACACCACTGCTACCGAAACTTCATAGCTATAGCTTGAAGCCGTATGTTCCACTGGGAACGTAAAGGAATAGAAAATTGTGTTTTTATGAGTTGATCACGGATTGATATCAGTTAGAGAACCATTGAAAACCAGGGAGTTCTGGACAGCTGCTGTTTCATCCTAGTTTGGGAATCATCGGCAATACGCACCCACTGGGATTCGAACCCAGGACCTTCCGGTTACAATGCCAGCCAGCTCGTATACCATTCAGCCAGTGGGACCCGATTCAATGGCCAACCCATGAATTCTAACTTCTACCAATTCGTGATCAACTCATAAAACATAACAAACCCTTACAAACCAAACTATAGAAAAAAAACTGTGAATAATTTTAAAGAGATTGTACCATTGTCTCTGAATTGTTGTATTCGATGTATCCATAGGACAGAATCTAAGCGGAGTCATCTCCATGGCCAATAAACCTCCCATACTGTAACGAAATAATGAAAAATAACGAAGCCAACTAAGCCAAACTGCCATAGATTTCAAGTTGATTAGGTAACCAGAAAAGGCCTAGAATAAAGTGAAAAAAGAAAATTAAATCCAATGATTGTTAGAGTTATTGCATGTAAATCAAATTAGACAAAAAAAATTTAGCAAAGAAGATTCCTTTCGATAATTTTCTCTTCTGGCTCTTATTATATATATATATATATATATATATATATATATATATATATATATATATATATATATATATACGCATAAGTTATAATAAGCATAAAATTGTCATAGTGAATAGAATATCAAATAACATTAGAGGAATTTCTACAACAAATTGAGGATAATTAAAATCTTGATGGTCAAGGTAAGAAAAGCGTCTGAACCAACCAACTTCTTTTACAAACATGTTAGGCTTCTCAGTGTAGATTCCAAGAGCCTGAGCAATATTTAGTAGACTAACTCTTAAGATAAAGTTAAGAATAATTCGTGTACGGTATATGACTTGGAAAGCCTCGTTAAAATCAATCTTGTGTTCTGTATCCACAAGATGAGATAGAATACAGCTATGAACTCTCCCTCACGCAGGTTGGTGTTCGGAAATCCGACTAGAAACACGCCTGATTGACTGGCCTATGTAATTGGCTCACTCCACAGAAGCAGTCTAGTCAGTAGATGCACACAGAAGAGGCGAAATTAGGCAGTTTACCTTTAAAAGCCCGAATGCAAAATAGGGGTGGTTTTGAAGGCAGCATAATTTAGCAGCACTGAACGTTCTTTTAACCTCATTCCTTAGGCATTGTGTTAATATCTCTCTGATGTTATTTCCGAGGATTTGAAGTTGTAACAATAAGGCCTTTTTCGTAATTATTGGTACTTTGGCCTGTCTTGACATTTGATTTACATTCCTATCGATCAATTTTCCCGGGTAACCGTTCTCACTCGGCAACTGTTTAATAATATTAAGCTCTTCATTAAGACATTCATCAAAGTAGATTGCTCTGTGGACCAAGTACTTTATTAGATGGCATTTGTATTTCAAAGTCACAAAGCTGAGGAGTTGAGTATACTGACCAGTTGATGTAGGTTTCCTATATACACTTCTTCTCACTGTACTGTCCTCTTTTCTAGTCATAAGGACGTCTAGAAATGAAATACTAGAGTCGTTTTCTTTCTCAGTAGTAAAATTTATTGCAGGATGAACATCGTTAAGTTTGTCAGCAAGGATATTCTTAGCTTCATCCTCATTATTCGTAATCAAAAACGTATCATCCATTTGCCGACAGTAGAACAACATCAATTGATGTCGCACTTGTGAAGACAACTTGATTAAAGGTAGGCTAAATAGAGGTCATTCAAACAAGTATATGAGATAGACAACGGCTTGGTGTCAGAAATATAAACCTCATTGAACTTTCTAAAATTTACTGTCCGTAAATCATCTAGGGTGCTTCGGTGGCACAGAGGTTAGGACGCTTACCGACCATGCACATGGTCATGGGTTCGATCCCCGGCCGACACACTCCTTTATCTCGCTAAGCCAGAAATAAAGCTGGTAAAGAAGAAAGGTTGGGCGTTATTATCTATAACTTTTTTTTATTACAGCTTGATTTCACACAGTGCTTTTTGGTAGAAGTATGGAATTTTCAGCTTTTTATATCGGTAGCCCAAATTTTGCAGGCCGACCATTGATATCAGGTGTGCGTCGGCAGAAGATTGAACCCCGGCCCATGTGCATTGCCGGTGAGAGTCCTAACCACTGTGCCACCGACGCACATGAGGCTAGCAACCCTAACCTGTAAAAATAAACACTGCTACGGAAACTTCAAGCCTCTAGCTTGAAGCCCTATCTTTCACTGGGAACGTGAAGGAATAAAAAAAATCATCTAGGACAAAAGATCTGTAATTTTCTAATACAGATCACTGCATCTTAGATTCTAGCAGAAAACAAAGTCTTGAAACTATACAGTGTTTAAATAGGTTAGGAATGTAAAATGCACTTGCAAGATGCGGCATTTGAAAACATAAAAATCAGGACATTATACGATACAGGAGGTAAAGCCATATTTAAATAATTTGAAAGATATGATAGAGAAGATTTGTAGCTCAGGTGGATAATTTTGATGTGGTTTTGTTCTCTGAGCTGGATAGTTAGTTTGCGAAGCTTTCATCACCTTACTGGGTGACATCTTCAGCGCATACTTCAAATTGAAGTGAGCTTTTAGGTTTCTCCACGAGTTTATTAATCATTCCTCCTGGTGACCTTGAACGTGATTGGTTGTTTATGTATGTTTTCACACCTTCTAGGTTACTTGTGTTGGAACTGATTGTTTCTGTGACTTGAACTTTGGCCAATCGTGTGTGAAGTTTCTTTCTTATTGGTTGATAAATTTTGTCTATCTCGATGTGTCTATTGATTGATGATTCACTGGAATGCCAAGCTTCTAAAAATTCTCTAGCATTCTTGTTATTTCCTTTGTCTAATATTTGAACGTTGTCCCAGTCGAATTGATGTCCGTGGTTGTCTGTGTGTAGTGAAATGAGGGAGTGTATATCATGTCTTTTGACGGCTAGCTTATGTTCGTGGATACGAAGACGAAGGGGACGTCCACTTTGGCCAATGTAGTGTTTTTCACAGTTGTTACAGTTTATTTTGTAGATGATGTTGGTTTTGTCTTCTTTTGCTGTTGAGTCTTTTGGTTGACATAGAATTGAGTGCAGCGACTTTGTTGGTTTGTGTACGACGTCAATTCCTAAAGGTTTGAAGAGTCTTTTAGTGATTTCTGAGATATCCTTTATATATGGTAAGGCGATTTTCTTTGTGTTTTCCTTGGTGGCTTTTGTTTTGGTAGGTTGGCTTGGGGGTATATGTCTCTTGATGAAATTCCGGGGATATCCATTCTTTTGGAAGACGTCCATGAGATACTTTTCTTCAATTTTTCTTAAGGTGGGAGTGCTGCAGTGAGTCCTTGCTCTCTTGAATAGTGTTTGTATGCAGTTCCTTTTGTGTGCTATTGGGTTGTTGCTGTTGTAATTCAGTATTTGGTCTGTGTGAGTTGATTTCCTATAAACTTGAGTTTCTAATCCTCCTATAGTTGTTCGCCTGACTAAGACGTCCAAAAATGGTATTTTGTTCTCGGATTCCTCTTCTCTTGTGAATTTGATGTCGTTGAAGACGTTGTTTATTAAGTTGTGAGTTTTGTCTAATTCGTTTCTTTTGATTATTACAAATATCCCGTTACAACCAATTGTATCACTCCCAGGAACTCCAACATATAATTTGTCCAAGGAATTATACAGAAAACTAAAACACCTAACGGAATCCTGTGATCACTCCATCAACTCTGCTATCCAATTCCTAGAGAAAATCAGAGACATCCAAATAGATGAACAAGAAATAATGGTATCCTTCGACGTGACAGCATTATATACCTCTATCGGACAAAAACTAGCAAAAGAAACCATGGAGCAATTACTTAGCAACGACGAACAACTTCCACAACAATCAAAAATGCAACACACAAGCTGGATGGAATGCATAAATCTATGCCTAACAACATACTTCCAATTCAACGGCCAAATATATGAACAAGTCAAAGGAACACCCATGGGATCGCCAATATCAGGTTTGATTGCAGAAGCAGTGATGCAAAGACTCGAAAACATAATTCTACCAAAGATCAAACCCAAGATTTGGATACGCTACGTCGACGACACATTTGTAATAATCAAAAGAAACGAATTAGACAAAACTCACAACTTAATAAACAACGTCTTCAACGACATCAAATTCACAAGAGAAGAGGAATCCGAGAACAAAATACCATTTTTGGACGTCTTAGTCAGGCGAACAACTACAGGAGAATTAGAAACTCAAGTTTATAGGAAATCAACTCACACAGACCAAATACTGAATTACAACAGCAACAACCCAATAGCACACAAAAGGAACTGCATACAAACACTATTCAAGAGAGCAAGGACTCACTGCAGCACTCCCACCTTAAGAAAAATTGAAGAAAAGTATCTCATGGACGTCTTCCAAAAGAATGGATATCCCCGGAATTTCATCAAGAGACATATACCCCCAAGCCAACCTACCAAAACAAAAGCCACCAAGGAAAACACAAAGAAAATCGCCTTACCATATATAAAGGATATCTCAGAAATCACTAAAAGACTCTTCAAACCTTTAGGAATTGACGTCGTACACAAACCAACAAAGTCGCTGCACTCAATTCTATGTCAACCAAAAGACTCAACAGCAAAAGAAGACAAAACCAACATCATCTACAAAATAAACTGTAACAACTGTGAAAAACACTACATTGGCCAAAGTGGACGTCCCCTTCGTCTTCGTATCCACGAACATAAGCTAGCCGTCAAAAGACATGATATACACTCCCTCATTTCACTACACACAGACAACCACGGACATCAATTCGACTGGGACAACGTTCAAATATTAGACAAAGGAAATAACAAGAATGCTAGAGAATTTTTAGAAGCTTGGCATTCCAGTGAATCATCAATCAATAGACACATCGAGATAGACAAAATTTATCAACCAATAAGAAAGAAACTTCACACACGATTGGCCAAAGTTCAAGTCACAGAAACAATCAGTTCCAACACAAGTAACCTAGAAGGTGTGAAAACATACATAAACAACCAATCACGTCCAAGGTCACCAGGAGGAATGATTAATAAACTCGTGGAGAAACCTAAAAGCTCACTTCAATTTGAAGTATGCGCTGAAGATGTCACCCAGTAAGGTGATGAAAGCTTCGCAAACTAACTATCCAGCTCAGAGAACAAAACCACATCAAAATTTGAAAGATATAGCACCAATATTCCAGCAACTTTAAATAAGTATTTCATAGTAACAGTTAAACTGAATAATGATAACAATATTTTTGATATAAAGTGCATGATATGTGATTATTTTTCAAGGTTGTTACCCTCAAATGCTTCTACATTACTAAGTGACCTAACCTGGTGAATCATTACACTGTTAATTGTGTGGCTAATAGTGTTTTCAATGTTAATCAGCTAATTAGTAGTATAACTCCCTAGGAATTTCCTATAAACAAGTATATTTACTTTTATTTGTTGGTTTTCAGGGATTTGATTGGTCTCAGGATTTCATAGTGAACTGATATCGGTTACAGGACTATTGGAAGACCACAAAGCAGTACTGGACAGTTGTTTCATCCTAGTTTGGGACTCTCCATTAGAACGTACTCACTGAAGTTCGAACGCAGAACTTTCCGGGTACAGGGTGAGCTCTTAGACCATTCAGCCACTGGGACCCTATCCAATGGTCCATGAATTCCAACTTCAACCAATTCCTGATGTGGTGCGACCACTAGTGAATGTCATCGATGGCCAGTATTTGTCTTCAAACCCGACCTGCTCTATCCCACTGGTTACGACTTCCCAGGTTGAATAGAAAAGTCGTGAACTTAGCTGAATAAGGCCAGTCACTAGTGAGCATCAGATTGATGTTTAAGTATTGGTTTGCAGGGATTTGATTGATTAGTTTCAGAATTTTGTCATGAACTGACATTGGTTGGAGAACTATTGGAAAATCTGGGAGTATTTTTTACTTTCAAGCTTGTAAAAGTTTACCCAGCCTGTCAATCTTATGTCATACGAGGAATTTAGTATTTTTATTAATCAGATACATTTCTGAAAGTAAATATTTTATTTTTGTTCCATCGGAATTCATCTTCTGCCTTGGATATTACATGAACTGTACACAAAGCTTTGTGAATGTTGCTGTAAAGGTTTTTTCCTATCATGATGAAAAGTTTCTAGTAAATGCATCATTTTAGACTAAACAGTAAGCTTGAAATTATATATATAGATGAATATTGTCTGTGAATACTACCAGTGAGCTGATATTTGGTTCATCCACTCTTGCTAGTTTTTAGAGTGCTTTTAAACATTGATTAATCTTAACTGAATGCTAATCGGAATTAGGGTGGCATTCAAACCTACAAATTCGCTCAGATAGGACAAGCTCTATAGGCTAAAAGACCCGGTGAACCCAATTAAACAAAGTAATATAATTTACAAAATAGCCTGCAATGACTGTGAGGTCAAAGTAGTAGGTCAGGGGTAGTCAGATTGTCGGAACATAAGAATTCAGCTAAGATAAGAATGGTTGATCCCGAGAAGATAAGCAATTCAGAAAAAAGCTCAGCAATAGCACTTCACGCATTAACAAACAACCATACAATAGGGTGGAAGAGGGTTAAGATTCTAAAAAGTAATTTATGTAGGTGGAGAGAGAGAGGTTGATTACTGAATCCTGCCTGGTTCATTGAGTCTACACCTAACATATGCAACAGAAATGACTCAATGCAAATACCAGAAATATGGAAGATATTATTGCCGCCAGTCAAATCAGAAGAGGATAATAAATAATCTTAAACTTCTATTTCTTTTCAAGCACATCACAACATTCTAACAAGTTACCTATCATGAGTATAAAAACACTCGTCTTATTTCCCATCTGATTGTAATTGATCAATAACACTCATATTATTCTTTTTGAATGCCCATTATCCTATATTGATTTTTATTCAAATATCTGGTCAGTTCCACACATTTATATAAATGAAAGAAAAAAGTTGTGTCAGTAACTTGATATGATTATGAGTGGCAATAGTTTTTGCTCGAAACATCATCAGTTTATATTACAGTATAACACTTTGTGATTTATCAAAATAAAATCTCACCCATTATTATTATTATTATTATGATTATTATTGTTCCCTTGGGTTCCTAGTGGAACGTAGGGCTTCAACTGCACGTCTCCACTTGTTTCTGTCTTCTGCTGTACTTTTCACCTGCATCCATGTTAGTCCATAGTCTTTCAACTCCTCTTCACACGATCTCCTCCATGTCACCCTTGCACTGACATCCCACTCGCCGCTTCCCTTTCGGCCTGGTTCCACTCGAGCAATGGCCTGACGCGCGCGCGATGTCACCCAGCGGCCTCCTCAGCGAGCGAGTGTCCAATCCATCTCCACTTTCTCCTGCATATTTGTTGGTTGGCGATTGGTTCTTGTTTTGTTTCTTCCCAGCCATAGTTCCTTGTTGGTGATTCTTTCCGGCCCGACCATCTGATCTTCAATATAGAGCCAGCGAAGACAGTTGTTGATAAAGGTCCGCAACAAGCTGTTGGGAATAAAATCTTATCCATAATGGTGCCCAAGTTTTATAACGGATATATAATCGTTTACTATAAGCAAGTATAAACTTTTACAACTCACCATCATAAATACATACATAATTGATAGGATAGCATTAGCTAATCCAAAAACAGTAACACTTGCTGAAATGAATAAAGCTATTGCGGCTGCAGCCAGTGTTGTAAGGCAGAGGATTAATTCAAAAAACATAAACGCTTGAAAAGTACGCTGTAATCCGGCCATCCAATAACATATTGGCATAAATAAGATGATAGGCAATACTTTAGTTGGTAGTATATCACAGAGAATTTTTGAAAAAAAATATACAGAAACTTGATAATAACCACTTGAACTTTCATGTCTAAAAAGAAATGTGAGAAAACAAAAGAAAAATAATAATAATATTAATAATAAATAAACCAATTTGAAATATTCACCTGTGGAAACTAATCATTTGATTAAATTTTGGTGTTCAGCATTATTAGAAGAGAAACGCAAGAAAATCTTTGGCTAACGGTTGCCGGGTGAATGAGGAGTCAACTAGTTACCAAGTTACAAAATTATTTATTTAATATTCAGAAGACATGACTTTTTCATCTGTGGGTTACACAATGAAATGATTCAGTATAACTCGCCTCTCAAATGATAATTATCAGGTCGGGTGTGAGGACGAATACTCACCAGCGATGACACTGGTTAGTGGTCAGAATCCATAAATCAGTGGATTGATGATCGCCGTGTAACCTGAATGTCCTAGACTCGAACCCCAGTGGGGTAAGTACTACTGAAGAGTCCCAAACTAGGACGAAGAGGGGTTTCTCAGTGGTTCTCTAACCGGTGTCATGTAATGGTAAAATTTTGTAACCGGTCAATTCAAATCCCTGCAAACTGTTAGGGATTTTTCAAATTATAGTGTACGGCACTTCGAGAAATTGTTCTAAATCATCACCAGACTACTTCTAAGTAGTATGACTATTACTTTCATTATTTTATTCATTTAGGTTCCCAGTAGAACATTGTGCTTCAAGCTAGAGCATTGAAGCATCGGTAGTGGTGGATTTATTTTTATGGGGTGAGATTGCTAGAATCACACCCAATATTCCCTCTTTATCCGCTTAGTGAGGTAAAGGAGTTCGTCAGCTGGGGATCGAACCCCTTACCACGTGCATGGTTAGGTAAGCGTTCTACCGCTGAACCATTGACGCACAGTAATATAACTAATTAACACAAAAATAGATTTGTAACTATCACTACCACAGAGGTCAGTAATCCTGTAAAATTATTAGCCTGAAACTTTATCGTCATTCGATACTGGGTTTTGACATTCCCCGTTTAATTAGAATGACTAAGCATAATAGTATGCCTCCATGCACTTAGCACGCTGTCACATTGCATTCGTTTATTCTTGAGCTATCTTTAGTCCTGCTTTACAGGATCGATTCCAAAATATGTTTCGTATTTGAGATAGCCGAAGTGTTTTTCAGACTTGGCCTATAGACTATCTTCTAGGCGATGTCAGATAAGTACATTTGCGTTATAGGATAGCGTACACATTCCATATTATCAGTTTATCATCCTGTTTGGAATGATTCAGATTTATTTTGAATACAATTTTAATTGCCAAAGTTTTGTTTTTAAAAATAAGTCATTTACTAATCAAGTTATCGGATAACACAGGTATCTTCCCTACTCTTCTCATTATTAAGCGTCGGTGTAACAGTGGTTGAATGCTCGCCGACCACGCCTCATGTGGTCCAGGGTTCGATTTCCGGCCGGCGCACTCCTATACCTCGCTAAGCCAGTAATAAGACTGGCAAAAAAAGGAAGGTTGGGCGTAAGGCTAGCAACCCCATCCCGTAAAAATAAATACCACTGCTACTGAAAGTTCAAGCCTACAGCTTGAAGCCCAATCTTCCACTGGGAACGTAAAGGAATAAAAAAAATTCTTATTAGTAATACGATTTTCATCTGGTGGCATAAGTGCATTTTAAAGGAAAGCATAGAGTATAATAACATTGAAGCCTATATTTAAAGGGTGCCTGCTTAAATCACTGGGCCACCTAAATTTTCTTTCCATCAAAATGTATCATGTTTACTCCGCATTATTTTGTTAAATAATCGGATTACGACAATGAGTCACAATTCATATTGGCGTACTATTTCAAATAAGTTTCTTTGTAGTGCCCCTGGTCTTGGAAGAGAAGGCGCCAGATCAAAAGGCGAGTATCTGGCAATCTGGAACAGTCCAGTGCTTTTATTTGTGTGAACTTTGGTGTCCCTCTGGTACCGTGGTTATTACTAGTGTCAGTAAAAAGTTTGAGCATTGTACAATAGATCAAATAAATGATTATTATACGTCAATAGTTTACAAACAATGATAAGTTCTTGTTTTTGATAACTTTGCTCGAAATATTACCAAAAACTAACACTTATCATTGTTGTAAACTAGCGGTTATTATTATTATTATTATTGATAAGGTGTTTCGACCATCATCAGTGTTCTGTTCCTCATTCACAGTTTGCTATAGTGTGCTTGATCTATGATTGGTTGGAGGATTTTGTCATGAGCTGACATCGATTAGAAAATCATTAGAAAATATCTGTCCAGTACTCCCAGCTGGTTTTACAATGGTTCTTTAACCGATGTCAGCTCATGATGAAATCGTCCAACCAATCAAACCAAATCCCTGCAAATCAATACTTGATAATTAATCCATAGTTGTCTGTGTTGTCTATTGCATTCTTCCAACCGCTGGGAATTTGTTGTAGGAAATACTGAAAGAACACTACAAAGTAGTACTGGAACAAGCTTCTGATGGAACAATACGGCCTCAGATGATGTATTATCCATGATGATATCATTTGAAGCTTCTGCACAAGGAGTAAATACATTTCAATGAAACATGCTGTGTCTACAGACGCATTATTCAGAATAAATCCACTATTATTATTATTATGTTTATTAAGTACAGCTTGAAATGGACATTTGATTTCTAATCATTTTGCACTATGTTATTTAACTGTCAGTCAAATTTAAACCAAACAACTCCCTCAGAGATTGACTTTATCGGCTTAAGGACCCAATAGATCCGATTAGGAAAAATAACATTATGGTGACAGCTGTCTGCAAGCCAAAATTTTGTAGACAACAATTTACGTCAATGTTCACGTCCCAAATCTGGGTCATAAGAAAAACAATAACAAAGCTTAACCTTGAGGAACTCACCAACCAAGCACAGAAGATTTAACGTGTGTAAATATGATTCACAGATATATGACTTGATTTACTGAGAAAAGCCCACAAAATGATAACGGGATAACCTTCAGCAAGAAAACAACCAATCAAAAGAGGTTGCTTCTCTGCTAATAATAACACTAATAATAATGTACATAAAAATCTATAAATACCTTTTGATTTTCTCAATAAACGATCTGTTGCCTGGCCCTTGTCTTCTATCATTACAATATAATTTACAAAATACCATGTAATGACTGTGAGGTCAATTACATAGGCCAAACTAGCAGATCGGGGTCATCTGGATTATTGGAACATAAAAATTTAGCTAGACCTAGAGTGATTGGCTCTGCTAAGTTAAATAACGCAGAAAAAAACTCAGTCATTGCACTGAATTGGTATGCATGTAATCAAAAAATAGAGTGGGTGGGATAGGATGAGAATACTAAAAAGTGATATAGTTAGGTAGAGAGAGAAAGAGGTTAATCACTGAAGCTTTGTTTATCGATTCAACACCTCACACGTGCAATACTCATGATGCAACGATTATACCGGAGATGTGGAAAGTGGCGACAAACGACAAAGTGAGGCTGGAGAGACAGAAAGAAGGGAAATATATACAAGACAAATTGCGAAGCCATGCGACTAAATTGATATCATTATGAGCAATAATTTATGCCCGAAACGTCATCCAGTTGTTAATACTGCATCACTGTGTGATTGTATGGAATTGCATTCTACCACAGTGTCCAAGTGTTTCACTTACATTAATGTCCGTCATATAATCAATACACCCGCAGGTATAAACTGTTCTTGTGTCACTGAGTTCCAAAAGATGATTCTCAATTTCACAGAAAATTTTATAATGACGCTTATGTGAATTTCAGTTTTTCAAATAATTATTCCTCTTTCAGTTATTGGTTTGCAAGGATTTGATCGATTTCTCCATTTAAATCCTTGTAGAGTTTGCAAGGCAAACATATTTATGCCCCCAAATCATCGACATATACACCAAGTTCACAGTTTTTGTATAGCTTGCTAGTTTCAATTAGCAAATTTCGCACAAATTGTGTACTTGCTTCATATTATGGAAGATAAAGAAGTACACGAAATGAAACGAACTCAATTCATCCCATAATGTTAATTACTTTTGCTTTAGAAAAAGAACTATTGAATGTTTATTTATCATAACACGAAACTCTAACAGTCAATATGGAAAAGGCGAACTCATGTTTCCTCATCTTGTAGGGTGGATGAAAATGCAACATAATCTCATTATAGTTATAGCAAACTTTCTGAATAGAAGTTCAAAAGTATGTAGCGTATATCGAAATTCCTCCATAAAATGTAGAAAGTTTGAGCATTGTGCAATAGATCAAATAAATTATAATTATATTTCAATGGTTTACACACAATGATAAGTTTTGTTATCGTTAATATTTTGAGCAAAATTACCAATAACAAAACTTATAACGGGGTGCCGCCGACAGTTATACATCTCATCCAACAGTTGTACGACAATGCTGCATGCCAAGTAATCCACAACGAGAAACTTACGAAATCCTTCGAAGTAAAGACGGGAGTAAGACAAGGATGACTGCCTACTATCTCCAATGATTTTCCTGATTGCAGTAGATCGGATAATGTGACAGACAGTGGCGGGCAATGAGGAAACAGGCATAGAACGGACTCACACAAAACACTCGGAGGATCTGGACTTCGCCGATGATGATATATGTCTGATTTCCCACAAACTTGAAGATATGCAAGTGAAAAGCAACAAGTTGGCAGAAGAAGCATCCAGAGAAGATAAGACTTCAGATGAACATAGAGAAAACAGAGGTAGGTGATGAAGATTCCTGGTCAACAGCAATATTAACAACAATCAGCATAAATGGGAGAAATCTGAAAGAAAAAACCTTCTTTACCTGCCTGGGAAGCATCGTTTCAACTACAGCCGGACGGAACGGATGAGGATGCTATCAAAGCGGGGATGGGGAAAACAAGGCAAGTCTTTATTTCTCTCAAGTTTGTGTGGAGATCGACAGCATTCAGCATGAAATAGAAGATCCGGATTTCAACTACAATATGAAGTCAGTGCTACCTACTATACGGATCAGAGACTTGGCGCGTCGTAAAGAGCACCTCCAGCAAACTGCAGACCTTCATCAACGGCTGTCTTCGCTCAATACTCAGCTCAAGATCAGATGGCTAGTCAGAAAAGATCAGCAACATGGATCTCTGGGAGCGAACGAACGAACTAGGAACCAACTGTGCAACAAATAAGCAGGAAGAAATGTAGGTGGATTGTCTGTACTCTAAAGAAACCATCAAGTGACATCACACGCCAGACCATCGCTCAAGTGGAACCCTAATGGGAAGCGGCGTGTTGGTCGTCAGTCCGAGGGTGACATGGAGGAGGAAGTTATGAGAAGAGGAGATGAAAGCATGTGGGCAGACGTGGAGCCAGGTGGAAACTTTAGCAGAGAACTGAACGCAATGAAGACGTGCAGCTGAAGCCCTATGTTCCTCTGGGAATTAAAGGGAATAATAATAATACACCACTTAACTGTGGTAGGTGTTGATAATGCTTAAAAGCACATATAACTCACTGACATATCTCACTAGAGTTTACTTATTAAATTCAAACAGACGAATAACTAACTATACCGTCAAACAATGAAAAATAGAAACTGGTTACTATATATGTTAAAACTTACATAAAAAGTGCACGTTCTTTAATAAACAGTTCAATTGTCGCCAAATTTACAAATATCACTTGTAGTGTACAGAAAAAGAATAATCCAGTACGATTTTGTATACCAGATTCTAAGGAATCATTCATTTGAAAATAGACTATACCCATTGATAATGCAAAAAATAAATATACAATTGTTTGTATTACAGATGCCAATGGATCTCTTAATAGATTCAGTGTTGTTCTCCAGCATACTTTATGCACTTGTCTGAAATATGGCGCTGCAAATGATATATCGACTGAACGATCTTTGAATTTATTCGTACCATTTTCATGCTCCTCTAATCGGTTGGCTATTGAGCTAACTTCTTCTAACACCCTTGAAACAGAAATGTGATGTAGTAATAATAATAACAATAGTAATAATAATTAGCATTAAGGTAATTGAAACTTTCCTAGTGACCCTGACAGTAGTTTGTTATTCCTTGAAATTCTCTTAGGATGCTATTTATTTATAATTGAATTAGTGGATGGTGACTAGCAGTGGGATTCAGGATGCGCGTATTTGGGACTCGTCATCTGGATGTACCTGCATTCCTCAGTGAGTTATTTATTTATAGTGATATTTATAGTATAGTTACCCTGATGTCTAACCTTTCGGTTGTATGACTTGGTAGACGTGTTAATTTGTCAAATTTATCAGTTAGCGATGAATTATATACCTCAGGGGAAAACTATTGATAGCTAGGTTTCCCATGAAAGATGGATATTTCATCCGTAGAAAATTCTTAAATCCAACCCTTCACAGTGAACTTCAGGCTGAAGTTATTGTTCGGAATGACAACACACAACAATACCAAAAATATCTACCAAAGCTCCAAATCTTTTGGATTATTTTAAAATCTTACGATTGTTGTGTTATTCACTTCCTAAAGTCGAAACCGATGCAAAGGGATTTGAACTATGAACTCATTGGTTAAAAGCTGTGTGCAGGTCAATGAATTAGGCTTCTTTAATGCAATAAAAGCTTTTTGTATATATAATATATCTATATCAATTTTGAACTGAATTACAACACAATGATGCAAATTTTTAATTCACTGGTATATTATTCTTGTATAAGTAAGAGTTAAGCTGGTAGAAAAGAACATATACATGAGATGTACATACCGCTGAGCCATTTCAGAGTTCTGCCATTCATTAATGAGCTGTTGACCAACTAAATGCATCTTTTCTTGTGTATCATGATGGTCGACAATATCTAAAATAATTTAAAAAAGAAGAAAAATTCGAATTCCATCATTTTGTTTTACCCTGTTTAATGACAGTTGATCTGTGTCTTACGATAATTTAGACGATGCTTTAGCGAATCAAATGCTGTGTGTGTGTGTGTGTAACTCTGAACTTCTTACCTCTAGTTGAATTCAGTGTGAAGTATGATTAGTTGAGGAATAATGAGCTATATACTGGTGGTTAACGGCATTTACCACATCATATCTTTGTGAAAAACGGATATTTCATCTCCTCACTAAAGTAGGACATAAATTAGACTGGTATTACAATAGAATAAATTAGTAGAAGTTGGATTTCATGGGCCATTGAATAGGGTCCCGGCGGCTGAATAGTGTGCGATGTGCTCGAACCCCGGTAGCGGGTGCATACTACCGATGATTTCCAAACTAGTGGGATGAAACAGCTGTCCAGTACAGTACTCCCTGTGTCTTTTCAATGGTTCTCTAACTAATATCAATCCGTGATCAACTCGTAAAAATAAGAATGAAACATATTATTAACTGTTTTTAGCTTGTAGAAATTACTACCAAAACTCTTTACAGTGTTAATTTTATAGAGGCAGAGTTGATATCTACTGGAAGCAGGATTATATACTAACTAGTGCTAGATAGCAGTTTTGTAATTATTCGGTTTTCTTCAGCAGTTCAAACTAAACTCCTACATGGATAAAGGAATTGTAAAAGAATTCCAATAAGCGCATCTTTTAAATCATTTCTCAAGTATGATTTTTTATTACATCTCAGTATTAGTGACTTAATAGTATGCCTGTCGGATTCTTTAAATTAGGATCAAACAATTTCCTTCCCCAGTGGCTTAATGGTCTACGAGCTGGCTTTCCTTGTAACCAGAAGGTCCTGGGTTCGAACCCTGGTGGATGCGTAATGTGAAGAGTCCCATACTACAACGAAACAGCTGTCCAGTACTCCCATTTGGTTTTCGAATGGTTCTCTAACCAATGTCAGCTCATGATGAAATCCTGTAATTTCCTTGATAATTAATGATAATTTTCACTGTATATGCATAGCAAATAGTTGTTTCACTAGCCGCCGCTAATTATTTTTGTCATTAATATGAATAAAACGAGAACAGCAGATTTTCGGGGAATTGTAGGTACAGATACCCGTCCAACACTAACTGTTGTGAACAGAAACCACATTCACATGTCAGTGTCATTCATACTGAGTGGCATATAACGAGTGGCTGATAAAATTGCGTCAATAAAATTACGTTAACTGTTAAGTCCAACAGGTCTATCGTAAATCACCACTTAGTTTACTTGCCCTTGTAGCCAACTTTAATCTTCAACTTTTTACCGTATAATTCATACTATAGGGAAAATCCTTAAGATTCTTAAGCCTATCTGTCTATCTGATTTCACACTGGACTAAGCTGATTATCAATCTACCTTGAAGAAGGTAGCCTCTTTAATTTACAGTCAGCTGTTAAAGGTAATTATCTCTCATGAATTTACACTTACAACTTTGTTAAACGTAGAAGAAAGAGGTTTCTGAATTAGTTATAAAGGATCCCCGATATCTGTAATTAGAGAATTCTAAATAGAATCAATAAATGCGTCGGTAATCCAATGGTAGGATACTCGCTGGTAGTGCACTTGGTCTGGGTTCTATTCCCTGCTGGCACACTTCAAAGCCTCGACCATTTTACTAACCGATAGTAAGCTCGGAAAAGAGGGAAAGTCGAGCATGAAGCTAGTGATCCTACCGCGTATAAAAACAAAACCAACGCAAGTGGAACTTCAGATGCCTCAGGATCTATGTTCCACTCAGGAGTCAAAAAGAAAGAGAAACCAATGAAGGTTAAAACGGGTACTTCAGAGAAGTAAGCTTGAATTGGTTAGTGAATTTGCAGTTGTTTTGATGCATAAATATGAGATGTTAACTGCGAAATATTAAACGATCGAAAATGATGTTAAGCACTGATGAAAAAAAGTAATTAAAGCAAGCGTCAATCAGTTATTATGCATACCTTATCTGAATGACTTCATGTTACCCAAACATTACTATCAAAATGATGGCGTTTTTTTAAATATTTTTGACTAAGCTGCCAACAAAATGGTAGTAATTTTTACATTTCGCATAGTTTTTACAGTATTGAAAATGGACCGAACTGAAGTCAAAGATCAGGCATTATTTTATTCTTAATAGTTATGTAGTCTGTTGTTAAGTTTTACAACTATCGGCTGTTCAACTGTAATGGTTTACTCGAACATGATGCAGACGGGTAATCAGATGTTTCACTACTTGTTCAATAGCATTTCCGTCTATACTTGTTCATACATTGTTGCGTTGGTGGTCAGAGGTAGACTGCCGGTCAACCGTGAACGTGGTCCGGGTTCGAGTCCCAGCCGGCTCACTCTTTTACCTACCTTAGCCGATTATAATTCTGAGAAAGAGAGGAAGTTGGGTGTGAGGCTAGCAACCCCACCCCTTAAAACTGAAACTTCAAAGCTCTAGCTTGAAGCATCATGTTCCACTGGGAACTCAAAACCGTGAAAAAAAATTTATTAAATTGCTGAAGTAATGTAAACGTTGCTTTGAAAAATGACATGACTTAAGTATCTCACTTAGTTGAATATCCACCTTACGGTATGATGTCTGTTGACATAGTGAAAACCACTGATTCCATGGCTAAATTTATCACAGTATATTCTACATTAATATAAAGACATAAAGAAGGTCAAAACAGGTAAGTAGCAGTTTTACCTAAAAATCCAAAAGGAGACATACAGTGTGACAGAATAACACACAAGAAGCTACTTGCACAGTATGAAATTGACTAGGGTTATAGGCTTTTTACATACCTTACTTTGTGTGAATTTACTTCACTGGTATATTTCTACATGTCTGTTAACGGCATCCGTAAATTTAGTTACCTGTCTTCATTTTTGCCAGGTGAACTGAATCAAGTCAACACTACACTTATAAAATGTTGGTTATAGGAGATTAGAGACATGCCACAAGTTGATAAACTTATAGTGGTTTACTTCGACATAACAATCAACTAAACAACAGATCACTGCTTACCAGTTGCCTTGAGAAACAACCTATCAGATATTTAATTCAACTTAAGGTTTTTCCCGTCGATTGATTGGACCGAAGTACTCGGTCTCAGGTTGACATGCCATCTTCTTGTGCAGATGCTTTGACGATCTCTCGACATGCAATTAGAAGTTAATAGGTGGATGGTGAATAGCCTCGGAATCCAGCATAATGCGCACTTCGTCCCCTTTGGGACTCGTCATCTGGATGTACATGCATTCCCCAGTCACTGAGTGATGGTGTTCCCAACGAGGCTTGAACTCAGTGCCCACAGTTTCAAACTCCAAAGCGCTGTCCACTAGACCTCATAGGCCATGAGAGCCACCTCCTGTGTGACGGGTCATATTAATTATAAAATTGAATTTTAAATTTTCTCGTCGATTGATTGGACCGAAGTGCTCGATGGGAACACCGTCACTCACTGCGAAATCCAGGTACTTCCAATGACGAGTCCCAAATAGGACGAAGTGCGCGTTGTCCTGGATTCCACTGCTAGTCACCATCCACCAACTAACCTATCAGATAAGTTGGACTGCATTTTAAACTAATATGCATTCAGAAAAATGGCTAGCAGTTATATAACTGCGTGGAACCAAAGCACTATCCACTGAGTTGAGACTGAATTACTGAAAAATGATATAGACATTCAGAATTGTAAAGTTAATTTCGATCATGAGTATTTGCATCTAGTAAGCTCTTAACAATTCTTGTTGACAAAGATTGTCCCCGTACTATCTATAAACCATTTGGCTGATAGATTTTTATTTACTGCTGTAGAGATCGAATGTAACAACTTCCTGATGGAATACACCAAAGTGCATAATGTTCCTGGGAACCACTAATGCAAATCACCGAATTGCTGTTTATTTTAAATGTATTTTGTTTTCAAGAGTTGTTTTGTAAGTATTAGATATGCTTTTCGGACTTGACCACGGATTGATATCAGCTAGGGAACCATTGAAAACCAAGGAGTACTGGAGTATCGGTTTTCAATGGTTCCCTAGCTGATAACAATCCGTCGTCAAACTCAAAAAATGCATCTAATCCTTATAAATCAACTCTTGAAAGTTAATTTGATGCTTGCTAGTGACTTGCTACAGGACGGAGTTCCCTGGAGTTCTAGTGAGAAGTCATGGCCAGTGAGATCCATTCAGTCAGGAGTGGGGATGGAGTTCATGCCCGATGACATCACTTGGTGGTGGTGGTGGTGGTTGGGTAAATTTAAGCGGAAATTCACTTCAGAATTAACAAAATGAATATAATAAAATATACAGCGATGAAGGTTAAATGGTTAGAGAATTCTGGTTATAAAAATGTGACATTTAATCAAAACGATAGATATATCTTGTGTACTTTAAATATCCTATGAAAACTGCTTTCACAAAAAGCGCTACTCTTCCCAATAAATTAGATTAAAGCTCAACTGCAAATGAATTCTGAGATTATTGTAAAGCTCGCTTAACGGTTCGCAGGTGTTTTTATTAGATGTTGCAGTACATATCTTTTTCAGTTACCACAAACGCAACTCAGTGTTCGGATGAAAAGTTTGTAAGTTAGTTGTAAATATGGGCGTTAAATTTTCAAAAATTGTGTTAAATTGTTAGTCGTATAAATCGTTTTTTTTTAAAACATTTACTAAAGATTTATCAAACGCTTCAGGGATCAAGGAAAATAAATAGACAAAAGCGTGAGTAAGCTGAACTTGTTAACTGGAAAGGCTGAAATAGTTACAGCCCGCAAAATGAAGTGCTTCAGCCGTATAAATACTTTGAGGCTGCTACACAAAACACAAAGTAATTTCATACTGAACATATATGTATATATAATGTGATATGCACTGTTACTGAAACTATTTGTTTAAACATACCCCCATTTAGTGAAGTGATTTCTGTGCTGACTTTTGAATAAAAACACACAAGTGTATATATATACATATTATCAAGTATTGGTTTTGTAAGGGTCTTGTTTGATTGGATGGAGGATTTCATCATGAGCTGACATCAGTTAGAGAACCAGTGGAAAACTTGCAGGGAGTAGTGGACAGCTGTTTGGTCTCACTTTGGGAATCATCGGCAGTGCGCACCCACTGAGGTTCAAATTCACGACCTCACGATTACAAGGCAAGCTCGTATACTATTCAGCCACAAGGACCCGATCTAATGGCCCATGAGTCTATCGTCTGCCAATTCGAACCTCGGTGGGTGCGTACTGTTGAAGAGTCTCAAACTATAACGAAATGGCTGTCCAGTACTCCCAGATTTCCCAGTGGTTCTCTAAGTGATGTCAGCTCATGATGAAATCCTCCATCCAATATATATATATATATGTATATATATATATATTACTTAGATGCTACATCATATATAATTACAATTGTAATTTTCTGTTTTCACAGTACGGGTATCAACTGAGTTAATTCAGATTCACTAATTTGAGTCTAAAATACTGCCTTGCTGTTGTAATATACTTTAAAACAGCGTATTTATTGATGTATCAATTCCATTGAAATTCACTACATCGATCTGTCTTATTACTAGGTGTCATATTTGAAGTTCATTCACACTCAAGTTCAAGTAATCTGCTTGTAACTACTAACATACTAACATGAAATTTGCTAAAATCTATGACTTATTAATAACTAACGAAGGGGTGGACTTCCGAAAGTCTTAGTGCGGAACCTGACGAGTAGTCTTCACTTAGATGCATCTGAAGACAGCAGCTTACCTGTGATGTACGATGACAGTAAGTTAACATCGTGAACTATCGTCAGTTGGAATATTTGTAAAACTGTACTTCAAATAAATATTTCTGTGCTAATACACTCACCCAAAGCATATAATAGTTCCAAGCTAGATTCCATTCACTTTTTTGACTTTGCATGTTTGTAAGTCTCGGACAATAATGAAATAACCACTTAGACCCGCTTGAAGTTTAATATCTCTTTAACTGAACTCTACTGGTGAATAGAATTTATTCATTAGATGTGTAGAATCTATGACTGATTGAAAAATGTTTGTTACTTTCTGTAATTCAATAAAATGTTAGCACTAGGTTATCACTAATTCATTTTCATTCTTATCTTGAGCTTCAAATCTGTAAAGTTGCATCGTCGTCAACCTTTGCAATATTTTGTATGATGAGACATTCAACTGTTATGTAGATAGTCATAACTATCAAAATAAAAATTTGTCCAAGTCGGAAAGGCAAGATACGCACGCTTTCATCAACCTGAAACCAATTTGGAAATCTTCTGGTGAACTTCGCAGCATTAACAACAAGATTCGGATTCTGTTCAAGACAAATGTCAAGTCGATCAGTGCTTCTGTACAAATCAGAAACTTGGCCAGCGTGTCAAGAAAAGAATTTCCAACAGGCTGCAGACTTTTATCAACAGCTGCCCACTTCTCTGGCTACTTACCTATTTTACTTTACTTCGGCTATCTCCTACGGGAGGATGAGCCGGCTTCATGAACATGAGTTCATGAAGTTTCATGGGAATTAGGTACAAGTGGTGTCCCCAGCATCGCTCGGCCTTCTCTGGCTCCATACTGAAGATTAAATGGCTAGAAAGAATTAGCAACAAGGAAGTCTGTCTGGGAACAAACCAAACAAGAGCCGATCGCTCAACAAATATGTAGGAGAAAATGGAGATGGATGAGGTATACGTCAAGAAGACCGTCGAATGACATCGTATGCAGTGCAGACCTTTATACGAGTGGGTCGTCAGTGCGAGGGTGACATGGAGGAGATCGTGCTGGGAGGAGATGAGAGATTATGGGCAACTGTGGACCTAGCTGGAGAGGACAACAGTAGACAGCACAAAGTGATGTGTTACTGAATTCATACGTTCCACTCGGAACCTAAGGGAATAATTAATAATGTATTTTAGTAGGATTTCAGTGGGGTGGACAAAAACATGATTGTTTTGCTGTATGCGCAAATCAGAGAGATTTACACATTGAATACGCATGATTGACTTTTACCACAGAAACAGCCTATGGATTCCTACTGTTATCTTTATTGATCACTGTTTAAATTAGGAAAATGTGGTATACGCGATAAATATTTATCGTAAGGGTATGTCAGGTGTTTCAACATAACAGTTATCTATGCTTTAATGCCTGGAAAAAGTTGTTGAAAGTCAGTGATTTTGTGTGCAATTATCAATTGATCATAAACATTTGTAGTGTTGCTTTCCTTAGTTAGATATTGACATAACTAACTTCGAAGTAAGTTAGCTGAGTGGAACTTTTGTCTAATAGATTTAAACTAAACACTTATGAATTCAGACAGAATTTTTCTAAACATCGTTTTCTGATTTTAAACAATTTCGTTGTGATAGTAGGATATTTTCTGAAAGCATATTACTACTACTGAACATAATTATTCGTTCTTAGATTTAGACAAAGACAGGCAGTTCCATCTTTGCTACTATCTTACATTTAAAGGTAACTTTATAAATTTTACAGCAAATAGTTGTGATCAGAAAAAGGGAAAATGCACACTTGTTGTCAGAATCTGAGGGAAATTGCACTTTGTGTTTTATGCAAACATCATTTTCTTCAGTTAACTAGTAATAAAAACATTTCAAATTAGCGATATTATTTATTATTATAATATTATTACTATTGTCTCCTTTAGTTCCAGAGGAACATTGAGCTTCAGACGCACGTCCCTATTCCGTTTGCTTCTCTGCCAACGTTTTTATCTGACTCATGCTTTCATCTCCTCTTCTCATGACCTCCTTCAAGTCACTCTCTCAATGGCGACCAACACGCCGCTTCCCACTCAGGTTCCACTTGAGCTGTGGCCTGGCGTATGATGTCACTTGATGGTTTTCTCAGAGTATGGCCAATCCACCTCCATTTCTTACTCCATATTTTTTGCACAGTTGGTTCCTAGTTCGTTCGTTCGTTTCTAGAGATCCCTGTTGCTCATCTTTTCTGACAATCTGATCTTGAGCGGAGTACTGAGCAAAGACAGCTGTTGATGAAAGTCTATAGTTTGTTCGAAGTGCCCTTCTTGACACGCAGTGCAAGTCTCTGATCCGTATAGTAGTACTGACTTCACATTGGAGTTGAAAATCAGGATCTTATTTTCATTTTCATGTTGGGTGCTGTTGACCTACACACAGACTTGAGAGAAATGAAAGCTTGCCTTGCTTTCCCGATCCTTGCTTTGATAACATCCTCATCAGTTCCGTCCACCTGTAGTTGAAACGATGCTTCCCAGGAAGGTAGGCGAATTAGGTAGCTTCTTTTAGATTCCTCCCAATTATGCTGATTGTTGTCTGTTGTTGTCGCTGTTGGCCAGTAGTCTTCATCACCTTTGTTTTCTCTGTTTTCACCTGAAGCCCTATCTTTCTTTGATGCTCCTTCTGCCAGCTTGTTGCTTTTCATTTGCATATCTTCCAGTTTGTGGGAAACCAGACATATATTATCGGCGATATCTAGATTCTCCCAGTTTTTTATGTGTGTCCATTTTATGCCTGTCTCCTCGTTGCCCACTGGCTGTCGAATTATTCAGTCTATCGCAATCAGGGAAATCATTGGAGACAGTAGGGAGTCTTGTCTTACATTTTTAGAATTTTCATAAGTTAATTTGTATGGATCTAGATTTGTTTCAAGTTTGACCACGCAATGATATCAGTTAGAGAACCACTGAAAACTAGGTAGTACTGGACAGCTGTTCCATCCTAATTTGAGACTCATCGGCAGTACGCATCGACTGCGAGTTGAACCCTGGACCTTCGAGTTGCAAGACGAGCCCGTACATTGGGAATCGATCCAATGGCGAATGAATTGCAGCTTCTATCAGTCTGCGATATATAATGCTACCGCCAACCTATGTCATCGGTGAGCAAATGTTCTCTTATCTGACTTTTTAGACGCCAAATGTCACGGCTTCTCACCTGAACACCAGGCAACTTCGTCCTGTAGCCAGTCAAGAGCGAGCATCAGATTTCTCTTCAAGAGTTCTTTAAGGATTAAATTTGTTTTTACGAGTTTGATCACAGATTGATATCAGTTATGCAGAACCAAACTAGGACGAAACCGCTGTCTAATACTCCTTGGTTTTCAATGGTTCTCTAGCTGATATCATTCCCTGGTCAAATGTATCTTAGTTTCATCTTTCTTCAGTACTTTTATACAGATACAACATCAAAAAGTTTTGCCGATTGGTTGATGAAAATGATTTACCAACTATCCTTATTACTGTGCTGGGAAGTTTAATTTTTCCAATACCTGTATCGGAAAATCTGAACAGGTTACCAGATCTTACATTTGTGCAACTAAGACACTTATGTATTGCTGCTTTCAAAAATAAGGAAATTTTATATTTAAAGTGTGATCCACTTCAAAAATTTATAATATTTGTGGAATGTAGAAAATTAGAAGATGATGCATAAAGAGAAAGATATTATTAATAATACTTTGTATTATTCTAAAATAGGGGAAAAGGTGTGTTTTCTTGTAAGTTAATTAGTGAGTATTACTCGTTAACCCACGGATTAGTATATCACTAGCCGAGTAGATTGGTAACAAGAAATAACAATTTGATATAGAATAGGGTATGTTTCACAAGGTAGATAAGATATGTATACTTGTGACAGTTTTTCACCGTAGTGTGAACTCAACACTGCTTAATGTACTGTGCCATAAATCGTTAGTGTGCGTGACCACTGTAAATTACCTACCTGTAAGGAGAAATCTGTTTATGTATTAAACGGTTGGAGGCAATCAGCAGGAAGCCTTGGACCTAGGTTTCGTGCTAGTTGACACTAACCAGTCAGCAAGGCATATCTACAAACTTGAAAGAACTCATGTCGCCAACTAGTGTCCAACCAAAAGTATACAATACAGTTCTACAGGAGGTTAATCTCAAGCCTGAATAGCT